GGGAGAGCACTCCATCGGCGAGCGCCGTCCCATCGAGTGACGCCGAGAGCCATCAAGTACAAGGGAAGTGCGTGACTCATTAGCGGCACCACCCTCCTCGTATGATAGGCGCCGATGATCCCCGACCCCTTCACACCCCTATCCTTCAAAATTCGGATGGCGGCGAGATGGTCCTGGATTTTCTTGTCTTTATCCGGGACTCCCCACTTCCTCCACGATTCTGGGACCTCTTCGACGAGGCGCCCGGTGAACACTGGCAAGGGGGCGGCTGTGTCGTCCTTGACATAGAACCAATGCGAATGCCACCCCTTGTTGGAGGTCGACAGACGCATCGGCAGGTACTCATTGACCCGGTTGTTGCGGAGCTAGATGCCGGTGCATCCCATCGACACATTCAGCTCTTGCCTCTTCTCCCACTTCTTTAGGAGGGTGACGGCAAAGAAGTACCGCCATAGATCGAAGTGGGGACTAATCCCTAGGAACCCCTCACACAGGGCGATGAACGTCGCGATGTGCTAGATCCCATTAGGCGTAAGGTGCTGCAGCTCCACCTTGTAGTAATGCAGCAACCCCCGAAGGAACTTGTGGGCGGGGGTGGTGAATCCCCACTCGTGGAAGTGAGCGAAGGACACAACATAGCCTTTGGGAGGCGACGGTGTGTCCTCATTGCCGGGCAGCCGCCACTCCTCGGTGGTAGTCCACGCGAAAAGAAGGCCACGGCGAACAAGGCCCTCTAGGCGCTAGAGGGTGACATCGGATCTACACCACGGCTCCATTGAACGATTGGGGTGGGTGGATACGAACTTGACGGCGGCTGAGATGCGGATGCGGGAGGCTTAGACGATTGACGGCAAAGGTTGTAGATGCAAAGGCAAGGAGGCAATGTACGAAACCCTAGGGGCGAACCCTTTGGTTTTATAGGGGCGACGGATGCGAGGAAGGCAACCATCCGCTTGGATCTCGCGCACCGCCATGATTTGCCACCACGTCACGATCGCGGGATATGTGCCCGTAGTCCCTATCCTTTCCTTCGAAGTCACGCTGGATGTTTCGCCTTTCTAGGCGGACCAGGACTCTTTACTAGTAGAAGAGTTATGGGTCAAAAAGCGTTCCTCTGGCCCATTTGGGCCCAGGAGTTCATGGGCTGGCCCATCAATGGTTTCGACAACCATCCCAAGGTAGCCTTATGACGAAGGATTTGGCCCGTGGACGGCCAAAACCTAGGCACACAAGTGCCACAAGTATCTCGACCCACGACTGAGTCTTAGCCAGGCTGACCCTTGCCAGATCCCCGCAAACGGGATACTGGGACTCCAATCGAACCATCCAGTTATCAAAACACCAAATCACCCGGGGGCTCGGGGCTACACCCGATGGGTGCGGTGCACTCGCGCGCACCCTCTGGCGAATCAAAATACCCCCCGGGCGATTCTATCCGAATCACCCGGGGCTCGGGGGCTACACCCAACGGGTGCGCTCGCGCGCACCCTCTGGCAAATCAAAATACCCCCCGAGCGATTCTATCCGAATCACTCGGGGGCTCGGGGGCTACACTCGTCGGGTGCGCTCACACGCACCCTTTGGTCAGTCAAATCACCCCCCGGGCGATTCTATCCGAATCACTCGGGGGCTCGGGGGCTACACCCATCAGGTGCACTCCTCTGGCAAGTCAAATCACCCCCCGGGGGATCCTATCCGAATCACCGGGGGCTCGGGGGCTACTGTCAGGGACCAAATACTGGGGTACCCAAAGAGGAGGAGCTAATAACCATCAAACGTTGATGCTTCCGAAGATATAAGAATGCAACTACACTTCTTGCCCAACGACCAAAGGTTGGCTCCGCCTCGCCCGACCTTCGAGAGCTGGCTTTGCCTCGCCCGACCTCTGAGGGCTGGACCCCGTCTCGCCCACGCCCGAGGGCTCCACCTCGCCTAATGATCGAGTTGCCTCGCCCGCCCGACGATCGAGGGCTGCTCGACGTCCGATTGCTCTGCCTCGCCCGATGTCTAGGGCTCGCTCGCTCTCGACGCGTCCGAGCTCTGGCTCCGCCGCCCGCCTAACGCCCCGGCGGGCTCCGCCGCCCGACGTCCGAGGGCAGGCGCTGCCTCGCTAGACATCCAGGGGTTGGCCCCGCCTCGCCCGACGTTCGAGGGCAGGCTTTGCCTCGCTCGACTTTCGGGGACAGGCTCCGCTTCGCCCGACGTCTGTGCGCTGCTCCTTCATAACAACGCGCACAGATAAGGTGGGACGCTCAAGTCAACCGCAATACCAAGGACCATACTCTGCACACCTGCAGGACAGTACCATCAGGACATGACTCGACGGGCGCCTTAAGTCCTTCCAGGCATGTCAAAGCCCAAACAGTGTTGTGGGCGCCGACATTTGTCCTACAATGTTATGGGCGCCGGCATTTGCCCTCGGACACGAATTCTGACAGAAACATATGACAATCACTATGATCCAGGAGGAAACTCATGTCATCTACAGTAACAAACGTGGGGCCTCTATGCCGTTTGCTCCTCATAGGGTCACGGCTCGGCACCCTGGTGCGTCGCGCCACCCACCGGGGTGGGATGGGACGTGACCACTTGCTGAACAAAGCCAGAGCATGGCCCTATCAGGATCAACGAACGTGCTATCCCTGGCACCGTCTGCCGTGTCAGCGGGGCTGGTTCAGAGGAAAAGGAAGACCCGACATCTTTGAAGGACCTTCTTGGCCTCTGGTTCTTCTTTTCTCTCCCATTTTGTAATCCCTACTCCCCCTTGATCTATAAAAGGGAAGGCAGGGCACCCCACAAAAGGGATAGATCGATTCAACATATCACGCACCACTTCACACATAGCTGAGCAGCTTCGAGGCTCTCAGTACCCGTTCGACCTTTCCATCTAAGACTTGGGACTTGTCCCTCTCTCGATCGTTTGTACCCCCTACTACGAACCTTTCAGTGCTAATAACACGAGCAGCAGCCGCAAACTGGACGTAGGGACATTATGCCCGAACCAGTATAAACCTTGTGTCTTTTAGCACACCATCCGGGCCCAACGCGCAACAAATACAAATTTACTAGTTGGTGTTTACTCGAAACACTGACACGCCTAAAGAGGGGTTCGATAACCCTGAATCTCTGGTTATGGCCTACAACTAGCAGAAACATTGCAACTTGTTCTTCAATGTTGCTGTTGATGTTGTCCCTGAGCAATGCCCTGTTGCGGAACAAATCGCAGAGCTGGAAGAAGGGGGCTCTCCTCATCCTAAGAAGCTCGACACAACGACGATCATCGCTATGGTAGATGAACCTTTGGTTGCTGGCCCTTTCTTGGTCTCTGGCAGTCGTAGGTCCATAGGTAATTCCTCTTGTAGAGGTCAACATTCGCCTCAATCTGACAAACATCTAGGCAAAGATCACTGCGACCAAGGCTGCGCCCCTAATGATAAGCTGTCGACGCCTAGTTTCACGATCCATGACGCTAAACAAGAAATGGGACATCAATTAGTAAGACATGGACCCCAAATCGATAGATCAGCTATGTCACCACATGGTGCGCCACCCAGATCCGCAAAGAAATCAATGACTTTACCAACAAATCAGAACAAACTAGGGTTTGGGTAACCAAATACTTGAACGTTTACAGCAGTATGACTCGAACCCTAACCAATTTCTAGGACCGGCTGCGACACCAAGTGGTGCGCCGCCCAGATCCACAAGCATCATCGACCAAAACCTAAAGCTCAGCAAAGAAATGGAATGAAATCGCCCTTACTATGTTCGAAAGGTACAGAAAACAACACGCAAACAAAAAGAGACGAACGAGAAGGGATTGAGGCCTCATACCACGGACCTTTGGGCCTTACCAGCAATGCCGACGGAGTTCATCGCCGCCGCCGGCACACCGAGAAGGTGGAAGACGGTGTGGGCGAGAGAGCGAGAGGCGAGAGCGAGCGAGAGCGTCGTCTGAGTGGAGAGGTGAGTGAACAGTTACCTGAAACCCTAGCTGGGCGATGAGTGCTCGCTTATATATGGTGGCCAGCCCAGGCACCCGGTCCCACCTCCTTGCGTGTGGGCGGAGCTGGGCCGAGCCTGGCTCCAGGAGAAAGGCCCCAGCCCATCTACAAGCAACCAAACAAGCAAAAACTGGCTCCAGGAACCAGGCCATGGGTTGAGCCCCCAACCAAACACACCTGATATGATGTACTCTCTCCGTCCGAAAAAAGAATGCAATTATGGAAAACGTGCCAGTCAAACTAGTCTAACTTTAACCAAGTATATGGTAAACAGTATTATCATTTATGTCTCGAAATAAATTTATTATCAAAATATATTATATAACTAATCTAATAATACTTATTTTGTCTCATTAATGTTAGTACATTTTTATATAATTTTAGTTAAACTTGAAATTGACTTCACAAAATATGATAATTGCATTCTTTCGTGTAGTACTGCTACTGTACGTGCGTGAGCAGCCATCTCCAACTTGGCGGCTTCTTTTTCTGTCCAAAACGACAAAAGCAAAAGCTTCAACTCGCGCCTTTCTGCATGTCACGGGTGTGTGTGTACAACATGCATCAGTTATCTGATTTCCGGCCACCCCGGCCTCCCAATCAGGCGTTAAATCGGTGGAAAACCTTCGGTATTTGCTTGCCTGCTGCTTGAAGATTTCATTTTTATTATTAGTACCATGCACCCGGCCGCGGGTATATATATTGGCCAAGGCACTACTCAAGTTTCGGTTTTGTTACCACAATTGTCCGGCGATGACGCTTACATATATGTGACGCCGTCAATGCAGGCCAAACCAATCGGAATCGTTTTAAATGAAGAAAAAGCAAGTACCCCAGATGTTCTATGCAGTTCATGCACGCCGTCAATGCAGGCCAAACCAATCGGAATCGTTTTAAATGAAGAAAAAGCAAGTACCCCAGATGTTCTATGCAGTTCATGCACAACTTCTGCTTGTACCCCAGATTGCAAAATTATTCTGGCAGGAAGTTCAGACAATGACAGGTGCGAAACTGCCTCGGCTGCATCCTGCATCGTGGGCGACTGATCTCCTGCTATCTGAGGTTTGCAGCGACAAGAATCGATGCATCTTCATCATTGGTATGTATTCCCTATGGATGCAAAGGAACTCTCGCCGCCATGGTGAAGCTGTGAAACCGATCAGGTTAGCCGTTCAATGGGCCATCGACACAGCGTATGACCTCTGGCTACTCAGCACGCCTCAGCAGCAGACGGTCTCACAGCGAACTGCTGCAGCTTGGCGACCGCCACCAGAGGGCTGGTTCAAGTGCAATACTGACGGAGCTTTTTATCCACAACGGGGGCGGGGAGCAACTGGAGTTGTACTCCGTGGCAACACCGGTATTTTCAATGCAGGATGTGCACGGTGGTACCCCCATGGCCTGGATGCTCTAACCATGGAGGCCCTAGCCTTCAGAGGGCGTGATTCTTGCAAAGGATAAGGGAGTACAGCGGCTACAACTTGAAACCGACAGCCAAGAATTGGTGAAGCTTTGGAGGCTGGGGCGAATCAACGATCTCGGCCGGATCTCACCAATCATCAGGGAAACTCGAGAGCTTTGTTTATCTTTTCATGGTTTTGAATTGATGTATTCTAGTAGAATTTGTAACCGAGTTGCTCATACACAGGTCTACATACCTATACTATTAGCTATAGCTGGAATACGTACTCCGGTCCGATCCAATAGGAAATATGTATATGGCCATATAGGAAATAACAGGAGCGCTATACGCGTGAGGAAGAGTCGTTCGATTTTCCTTCCGCCGCGGCTGCTCTCCTTCGTGGCTCGTAGCCTGTTGCGCTCTCTGGAAAAAGCCCTGATGCTGATGCTGATTTGTTATAAGAGAAAAATATTGTTATTTCGCTGAAACGGTACGGCTGATAAGTTCAAGCGAACAGAGCCACATGTAACTGGTATACTATTAGCTATAGCTGGTACACGCACCTCGCACGTCGCCGTCGACGATGGGCCGGCCGCGCGTGGCTACTCTGCTCACTCGCTGCGCCCGGCCAGCCAAGCGAGTACTACCCTAGGAGTGTACCAGACGTCCTCAAGTCCATACGTGTTCAGGTAAAGTGTTGTGCCCAATTGCCCTTATTCCCTAAGCCTCTTCGTTGATTGTTTAATCAATGTTTAATTTGCCTAATTGCCTTTGCTCCCCAGTCGTTATTCTTTAGAACCTCTTCTAAGATTCTAATTTGGGATGGTACTTACTAATTTCTAAATTTCTAGCGTCCTCATGTTACCAAAAAGCATGCATTTAGAAGTGAAAATAGGAAAAAGATATAGATATAATTTTTATGCATATCATTATAATTAAAACGAAGGGCCCATCTTTCTTGCTTTGCTCTAGGCCTATAAATTGACATGATCGGGCCTGGTTTCATGAGTAATGAAAGTCTAAAGTCACAAAAGAAAGAAAAAAACTTCTGCTTGTAAAAAAACAATTCTTACAACACACTTTTTAAATGCCTACCGTGGGCTGCGAGGGATGTAACTATTTATATACCAGTAGTAATGGACTACGAAGTACTGCCCCACTGTACTGGCCCTCCTTTTCGATTAAGGTATTTGGAGAAATTTATAAGAGCGTGAAGAGTGTTTTTCATCCGAAACAGTAAAAACCGGCTGATTTTCACACCAGCCAAACGCAGATTATATGAGTACCAAGTAGGCCCCAGCCGTCCCCAACCGAAGCGCCCCTGCTCCGTTGGCTCCGGCGGCCCTCTCGCACTAGGACGACGAATCAACGCCCCGCGCAACCCATGGCGTGATGCAGCTCCGGAGCTCAGCAGCACCCGGCGAATGGCGGCGCGGCGATGGAGCCAAGAGAGAGGCCAGCCGAGATGCAACCAGCCAGCACTGTTTCCGTACAGTACTCGTACGACAGTGGCAGGAGAGGTGCAGTAATAACTACTCCTACGTAGCAGGTGGTAGGATCCGTGTCCTCGGCGTCACACACACGTGAGTCCCATGCCCGATGGATCCCTCTCGGGTGTACGGAATAGTACAGACGTTGTTTCTTTGGTACCGTCCGCGGCCATGCGAAAAAAAAAAAAACTTGGGCAGCCACGTAAAGAGAGTCGTCGTTTGGCTGTTATAGTACGTGTGTGTCACAGAAAACTAGTTGGTTCCTCACCGCACCCGTGAGGCCGCCGTGACGCCGCCCCGCCCCTTTATATACCGCACCACCTCGCCCTCGCCAGCTCGCCACACGCCCACACATCTCCTCCGTGCCGCTCCTCTTCTCCAAATCCTCCTGATCACTCCCGCCGCCACCACCGCTCCACCAGCAACCAACCCAAGGGCGTGGGCGCGTGCGTGTGCTTGGCGGCGGCGGCCATGGACAAGGGCTTGGCGCTAGCGTCGTCCGACGACGTCCACCAAGGCCACCCTTCGGGGGTCACCGCGAGCGCAATCGGCGTCGGCGCGGGGTCCTCCTCCTCGTCGTCGTTCGCGAGCTGGCGCGCGTACGGGCGCGCGCTAGCGCAGACCCCACGCCGCGTGTCGCGACGCGCGATTGCCGCAACGGCGCCCGGGGAGGAGATGAGCCGGGTGCGTGCGCGGTCGGGCGCCGACATGGCGCGCGCGCTGCGGTGGTGGGACCTCGTCGGGCTGGGCCTGGGCGGCATGGTGGGCGCGGGCGTCTTCGTCACCACGGGCCGCGCCGCGCGGCTCTACGCGGGGCCCGGCGTCGTGGTTTCCTACGCCATTGCGGGGCTCTGCGCGCTGCTCTCCGCCTTCTGCTACACCGAGTTCGCCGTCGACTTGCCCGTCGCCGGCGGCGCCTTCAGCTACCTCCGCGTCACCTTTGGTGAGTCCTGAGTCCCGACTGGGACGACGACGGCGACGTCCAACAGAAATTATCACGGGCCCAAACACAAACCGCTTGCCCTTTTCGCCCACATCCGCGTGAGACGGAGACCGACCCAAGCAAGACCTTTTTTTTTTTGATAGAAGGACAAAGGGTCACGGTCATTTTCGCAGGCTCGCAGCAGCCGAACCGCATCGTTTTCTATATTTAATCCGTCAATAAACCATCCTGCATTTGCCGTGCAGATTTGAGATGTTTCAGATTTCTTCAAAAGCAAACGGAGACTCGGACCGTTTTCTACTTTTCTACTTTTAATTTGAAATATTCGAATTCCGGTGAATTTTCCGGTCTAGTCATCGCCCAATTATAGGTGAAACGATCGTGCGATTTTTATTATTGGGCATTTGCCTCTCTTATGAGAGTAAAAATCATCTCTCTTATTATGTATTTAATCGTGCACTTGTTTAATGTTATGCACTTGAATTAAATCATGCATTTGTTAGTTGTGAACTTGTTATGTATCGTCGTCTGCACTGCAGGGAGCTGGCGGCGTGGCTGATTTCGTATTGAATTTTCGTATACCGACGCTCATTCGATATAATTCCGCTTTCGAATTGGTTCGTTTCGAAATTCTAGAACGTAAGTTCGTGTTCGTTTTCATGTCAGCTTCACGGCCTTGCTCGGCACAGATTTTCGTATTTCAAATGTAAAAGTAAAAAAGCGGTTGAGGAGTTTTTGGACGCGCCGTTTTCATCCAGTGGCCACCGTTTCCTCCGTCAGTAAACCATCCTGCATTTGCCGTGCAAATTCGCATGGTCCTCCGACCTCCGTCAGTAAATCCTCCTAGCTGTACTTTATTCCGGTGACCTCGGGCTGACTGACAGCGACCGCTGCATCGTACGTCGTCTGCTGCTGCAGGGGAGATGGCGGCGTTCCTGACGGGTGCGAACCTGATCATGGAGTACGTCTTCTCCAACGCCGCCGTGGCGCGCAGCTTCACGGCCTACCTCGGCACGGCGGTCGGCGTGGACGCGCCCAGCCAGTGGCGGATCACCGTGCACGGCCTGCCAAAGGGGTTCAACCAGGTGGACCTCGTCGCCGTCGGCGTCATCCTGCTCATCTCCGTCTGCATCTGCTACAGGTACGCCGCGCGCGCGCGCTCCTCTCTCGGCTTCCGAATCTCTCGTCTCGTGATGTCAGGCTCGATCATGTGTCACCGTAGCACTCAGGTTTTCTTTTTCTGTTTTATAAAAAAGAGATTATCGTGGTTGCGAAAAGGATATTTGTTGTTGCTTCCAAGTGTCACTCTCCGTTGGCTGCCTGCCTGCCTCTGCTCTGCGTTAGTGGGCAGTGGCACGATGAGAAGGAAAGGAACACCTGGTTTCTGTGCACTCGAAAGCAAGTGCACGACACTCTCGTCTCCTGTCCTCCTCATTTTGCTGCCTTGTGGTTGCATGCAGTACTCCATGGTTCTTCTCCGGAAATATTCCTAAGGTTCAGACAAAGCAGGGTCGATCAAATGGAGATTTTGTTCCGTTCCGTGGCAAGGAATCTTGTCGGTCTCTGTTTTTCCAGTGTTGGAGTACCCTCCTTTTGGTTACGTGGTCGAATGTTTTTATTGCACCAAATGCTGGTGAACTTTGTCGAAAGATGAGGATCAAATCAAAAGCTAGTAGCTGCTAGTCTAGCGACTGATTGGAGCAAATGCTGGGGAATTCTCGTACCTTTCTTTACACCTCATATCGTTCAAGAACCACACAAATCCTTGTGTAGCACAGCCGCGGAAATTAGGATTGGAGCAGCGTCGATCCTGAATGACTGAGAGAGACTGTGTTGTCTAAACAGTAAATTTTGCTACAAAACATAAACCTGTTCTGACAAGTTTCCCTCTTTTCCTGCTCTTCTGCGATCAATCGCACACAGCACCAAGGAGAGCTCGGTGGTGAACATGGTGCTGACGGCGGTGCACGTGGCGTTCATCCTGTTCATCATCGGCATGGGGTTCCGGCACGGCGACGCGCGCAACCTGACGCGGCCGGCGGACCCGTCCCACAACCCCGGCGGGTTCTTCCCGCACGGCGCCGTGGGCGTGTTCAACGGCGCGGCCATGGTGTACCTGAGCTACATCGGCTACGACGCCGTGTCCACCATGGCCGAGGAGGTGGAGCGGCCCGCGCGCGACATCCCCGTCGGCGTCTCCGGATCCGTCGTCCTCGTCACCGTGCTCTATTGCCTCATGGCCGCCTCCATGTCCATGCTCCTCCCCTACGACGCGGTACCACCTCTTGCTCTGACGTTTTTTTGCCTGGCCCATGTGTCATTCACATGGTTTCTTGTTCTGCTCACCACTGCTCAATCTATGAAACTTTGAAGATGCCAAAATTCTGCCTAGTTCAAGATTCCATCTAACATAAACAGCATTTGAGAATCAGAGAGAGAGTAATGAGGATATGCTCTTTAACATAAAGGTCGATTGGGTGGCTATAGTTGCACACGACACGATTGATGCTGCTAGTACTGATTTACAGTACACGGACCTTGGAGGCCTTCCATTTCTTCTTCTTGTGGAAAATAGCCTATATTTAGAGCTCATCTTTGGGTGCGTAGGTTACATCACCTCATGTGG